AGTTTTTGTCTGAGTGTGTTGCTGTGTCTGAAATGTACTGGGATGTCGTGTTTGGAGAAAACTCTTCTGAGTTTCTCTGATACACCGGCTACATAGGGGATGACAATGTTGTTGCGTCTGTCTTTCTTATCCTCCCTCGCTGGTGTCTGATCTTCTTTTCTGTGCATCTTTGCTGACTTTGTGTTAGGAAATGTTAGTTTGCAGTACTGTGGTGAAAATTTCAGTATTGTACTATGCTGGGCTGCTACTGGTACAGTACATAGGTTTAGAAAATAATCACAATTTAGGTTAAAGTGCAACAGTTTTTTTTAGTTCTGTTTTCTTGGTTGCCATGTTGATGTTTCCTCATTTTGTCTGGACAACATACATGTTTCAGACACAAATATACTCCCTATTAAAATACATAACTTACAAATCTGCTGACTGTCATGAACAAGGTCACAATTTATGTGACAGTTTGTGAACAAAAACAGATTTTGTGACTTTTTCACATTTAGTTATGTGAGGGCCTAGACTTCACAGTAACACCTCTCTGGCTGTCAACAGAGATTTCAGGAAGCGACTTCAACACAATTGTGGAATCCAAGAAGATTCAAATTACACTTTCTCTACAGAAATGTATGCTAAATTTTAGCATACTCAAGAGAACAATGCCATATAACTATAATTGTTTTGTTTTTTAGCTCAGCACCATCAGCATTAACAGGGTTGCTATGTTTTTGTGTCAGAAATCTCCAGATGATATTGATTTATGGAGTCAACGATGATGTATGGAGTCAACAACATTACAAAACTCCTCCTATCACCTAATGTTGTTGTGTGGTGTCTACAAATGTGACCAACAACCTATTTTATGAGCAAAACAAAGCTAAAAGTAGTGTAGTGACTGAAGTAGTGAATGAACCATAGTCTGGTAGGTATGGAGATACCAGTTATGATTAATGTATTGACCGTATTTTATAACACAGCTGTTTCCATGTTCCTTTTCCACAGATGCTGTCATTAAGACCATTGTTTCTCAGACCATACCAAACTAAGAAATGATTTCCGTGTCACTGACTCTATGAAGTGAAATGGAAAATAGCACTCTGTCATTTTACTTTCGCTTCACCATGTTTGCAAACATCGGACATTACCGCTTTATAGCCTTTATTTTTTGTCTTCTGCTCTTCATCTTTACCATCTTTACTAATCTTCTCATGATAGTGGTAATATCCCAACAAACAACATTACATGAGCCCATGTATATTTTCATTGCATGTTTATCTGTTAATGCTTTGTATGGGTCTTCAGGTTTCTTCCCCAGATTTCTCATGGACCTTCTGTCTGACACTCATTTGATCTCACGTCCTGCTTGTTTCACTCAGATCTATGTAATTTACTCATATGCATCCTGTGAACTGACTGTTCTCAGTATTATGGCTTATGACAGATACATAGCTGTTTGCCTTCCTTTACACTATCACACAAAGATGACTCTTGAAACTGTTGTGAAGTTGACAGCACTGGCTTGGATTTTTCCTGCATTTTCTCTTGCAGCATGTCTTTGTTTGTCTGCCACACTTCCTTTATGTGGTAATGAGATCCACAAAGTATTCTGTGCTAACTGGAATGTAGTCAAATTGTCTTGTGTTAACACTGCTGTCAACAATGTTGTAGGTATGCTTTTGACTGTAGCCACAATTTTCCTTCCCCTCTTTTATATCCTCTACACCTATTTACGAATTGTGTCTATTTGCTGGAAAAGCTCAGCAGAATTTAAGGGTAAGGTATTAGAGAGCTGTCTGCCACACACAATTTCATTTGTGATTTATTCTATTGCTGGATTTTGTGATGTTGCCTTGAGCCGGAATAATCTTGAAGTGACTAATCCATTTATAGCTGTCATTTTATCACTGGTGTTTGTTGTGATTCCTCCAGCTTTAAATCCTCTTGTGTATGGCCTTAAATTACCAGAAATTAGAAAACATATTTTAAAGTTGTTCTAGTATGAATGATGATCATTTGGAAGACTATGATTCTACATACATAAATGATTTATGAAACAGAGACTTTTTTTGTGGCAAATCTTGTGTTTATGATGCCTACACTGTTTTCTTTATATATGAAACAACCTGAAATATGATCAGTCTGTCTCTGTTAGTGGGCTGCTTACCACAGGTTAGCAGTAGTTAAACTTGACCTACCTGTCTTAGCTAATTATAGGTAATAGCTAATTTTAACCTTCAACCTTTCTTTTAGCGGAAAAATTCTTGAAATAGTAGTTTAGTAGTAGTAAATGATGATGAAAGCTAACTGATCATCTGCAGAGTAATGGTATGTGAAAAGTTTCAATCAAGCTTCAGAACATCACAGTACAAAAAACAGCATTAGTAAAGATTGAAAATTATGTTCTTATGGCCTCTGACAGCGGAATCATCTCTGTGCTCGTTCTTCTAGATGTCAGTGCAGTGTTTGATAATGTTGACCATAATATTTTATCACAGCAATTTGAGAGTACCATAGGTATTACAAGTACTAGGCTACAGTGCCTTAAATCATATCTATCTACCAGACTGGAATTTGTTCATGAAAATGTGGAGTGCTATTCACACTCTAAGGGTAATGATAGAGTTCCACATGGTTCTGTGGTAGGACGAATTCTTTTTATATTCCACGTTTCTCTTAGGCATATCATACATTATCAGTGCTATGAAGATTATAACTAGCTCTATCTATCAATGAATGCCACATACCATATTTTAGTGATTCTAAATTGATATGAAACTGAGCTTATTATACTTGGCCATAAAATGTTAGAAATTGGGTATCCAACTAGATACTCATTCTATATAAACATGCAACAATAAAACCAGAGGTTAAGTAAGTAACTATTAATAATAGTGAATTTACTTATACAGCAATTTTCAAAACAGAATTACAAAGTGCTTCACATTTTGAATAAAAGCCACAGATACATGCGTTAGGGTCCCTGGGTCATTGACCCAGTGTTTTGTGATTTTGTTATTTCATTATATTCTAGCTTTGTTTTACGGGTTTTAGGATTATTCTTAGTTAAGATTCTCTGGGTGGGGTTTGGTTAGAGTTTTAGTGTTCTGGTTTTCTGTCTGTGTTCCATAGTTGCTGTCTCCCCTGTCTGCTGTATCCCCTGCTGCAGTGATAAGGTCTTATATAGATGAGCTTATAAGTATGGGCCTGTTCATGCAGCTTTATATGTTACTAACAGGGTTTAAAGTAGATTCTGAATTTCACTGGGAGCCAGTGAAGGGATGCAACAACAGGTGTAGTATTTGAGTCGTGGTTAGATTCTTGGTGGTGTGTTCTGCACCAACATGTGACCAGTGGTGTTCTATACTGCAAATTTTGATATTGATCCAATATCAAGTAAATACAGGGAGGGCATTGGCAATACCAATAGAGATACCAATCCTTTTAACCTGTAAATCAGCTTATATAGTGAAAAGGAGTGTTTCATGATTTATGAGAATTATCATCAACATGCAAGTTCTGAACAAATTTCAATGATGACTAAATCTCTGTGATCACTAAATCACAAAACACACCTTTCAGCTTTTCGTGTATTTTGAAACTGTGTTATGGAGAGCTGGCATCTAAATGTGCCTGTCTCGATAGCACTTTGGGGCAAATTCTGTTGTTCAGATGTGCTCTAAGCTATAAATAAAGCAGATGTGACAACAGTGACTTGATGTTACTGATGAGGGGGCTGATGTACCGGCTGACTTCCTTTTAGAAATTGTGAGAGCCAAACATAAGAACCTTAAAGATAACTTGTTACTGTTTAGGCTACATTTGTTTTCTGTAAAGAAATGTAACCACAGTAACGGGGTTTGGCGGCGTAACCCAACGCTGAACGCTAGTCGTTGCACGTGCAAATCCGCAAAAGATGCAAAAACGCCCCCTCAAAAAAATTCTCATGCATTCATTCATATTATAAAATGAAACATATATGGCAAAACAATTTCTGTTGTATGTGTGAAAAAAGTGCAGAAATGGTATTTTCAAAAGTAAATAAAAAAAAGAAAAAAAAAGAAAAAAAAGAAATGAAAGCATCCCTAGCTTGATGCACCACTTCAAGCTAACTGCGTAATGCCGTTAACCCAAAGCGTATATAAACCTCTGGTGACATACTCTTTGAGGGAGACAGTCGACAGACAGTCTTCTTTTTACTGTGACACTAATTTCTACAAATGTAATGTTCTCTTGTTGCAAGTGTGAAATGACACCTTAAAAAGGTAAACTATTTTATTATGGATAATGTGTCAGTGGTTACTGTTTTTACTCTCTCAGGTTTAAGTGGTATAGCAAACTACAAGATCACTATCTTTATTTTTACTTTACTGTGTTACTGTGTGATTTGGCTGGTAAATTTGACGATAATTGTGACAGTCATTGTGGATAAAAGCCTTCATGAACCCATGTACATCTTCCTCTGCAATCTGTGTTTCAATGGACTCTATGGGACTGCTGCATTTTATCCCAAGCTTCTCTATGATCTTCTGTCCACCATTCATGTCATCTCTTATGCAGGATGCCTTTTACAGGGTTTAATGGTGCACTCTTCAATTTGTACGGACTTCTCTCTTCTAGCTCTCATGGCATATGATAGATACGTGGCTATATGTCGACCTCTTGTGTACCACTCTCTGATGACTACACAAAGAGTTTGTATCTTTGTATTTTTTGCTTGGATTACTCCCTTTTCCCTGATATTAATGAGTACGATAACAACAGCAACATCGAGGTTATGTGGCTCACACATACCAAGAATTTACTGTATAAACTGGTTAATTTCTAATCTAGCTTGCTCTGCCTCTGTAGCTACAATTATTATTCCTGCTTTTAATTACACCTTTTATTTTGGTCATGCCGTTTTTGTTTTCTGGTCTTATGTACATTTGATCAAAACGTGTCAGTCATCCAAAGAAAACTGGAACAAATTCATGCAGACATGTGTACCACATTTATTCTCTTTAGCAGTCGTTGTTGTGTCTTTTCTTTTTGATATGTTATACATGCGATTTGGCTCAAAGGAAATACCACAAAGTTTTGAGAATTTCATGGCAATGGAGATTCTCTTCATTCCACCAATTATTAATCCCCTCATGTATGGATTTAAATTAACAAAAATAAGAAAAAGAGTTTTGAATTTTATATGTGGTGAAAGTTCAGCTTTTATATTAAATTCATGAGTGTGTCTGTTTATATTTGTACATATTTAATTCAAGAGAAATGTGAACTACATTGTTAATTAATAGACACTGTGACATATACATATTATTTCTAGGTTGTCTTCATTAATTGAAATATAAGCATCAGACCTCCCTTTGGGTTTGAACATATAAACTAAACACATTTCCTTTACATTCATTTATTTACACTTTTTTCTTTTCTAATAAAATAATGAGTTTTATTTAGTTACATCTTACTTTGAAGTCCAGCTTCTTTTTCTGGTTGACTGAGATGTTTTCTTTCACCTATAGTTATACATACCTACCTTTGGTCCAGAATTGCATTGTCGGGTAATTACTGAAAATCTCAGCCACTAATTTATTTACTAAAATAATAGTGTTTTTTTTCTTACAGTCTCTTTTTGAGCTTGATGGTTCACTTCACACCTGGGGTTCACTGTTCAGGGTTGCCACCACAACAGGCCCTTACAACTGTACAGGCCACAGATCAGCACATGTTCCTTACCTCAGCAACAGAGGTGAGAAACACAATCCATTCAGGCTTAATGACCCCAGCCACACTTGTGATGCTGCTGAAGCTCTGTCAAGTTAAAAAACTTCCTGAACTAGGCCTCTCCATACCTTAAGTCTGAAAATAGTCTTTTTCTTTACATATAAAATTAAGTAATAATTGGATTTATATAGCGCTTTCAAGGCACCCAAAGCGCTTTACAATTCCACTATTCATTCACTCTCACATTCACACACTGGTGGAGGCAAGCTACAGCCACAGCTGGGGCAGACTGACAGAAGTGAGGCTGCCATATCGCGCCATCGGCCCCTCTGGCCATCACCAGTAGTTAGTTGATCAATCATTTGTATGAATTGTGAAAAGGATTAATGAACTGGCACCAACAGTTGAAAGCAACTAACTGGAACCGAGTGTTATTGATTTTTAACCCAGTGAGTTGTCTTTATTAAAACAGAATGACACACTTTATTTGAGGAGTGTACAGACTTGCTTTAGCTTTTGAATTAAAATAAAAAGGCTAAATAGTATTAAACACCAAGATAAAAATCAATATAAAGCAGCTAAGCATACATTGTGGGGGTATTAAAACTAGAGATGGACCGATCCGATATTACGTATCGGTATCGGTCAGATACTGACATAAATGACTGGATCGGATATTGGAGGGAAATAAAAAATATAATCCGATCCATTAAATATCAAAAAAGCACCTCACAAAACTTGCGCCACACCGTAACTCAGCTCATAACCGTAGCACGTTGGAGCAGTGTACTCACCTGATAGAGCAGCTGTGTGTATTTTTTAATTTTTTTTATTTTTAGTATTTATTTATTTATTGTCATTGTCAAGAACAATGAAATTGCATTTGGGGCTTCCATACAACCCAAAAAAA